TACTACTATTATTATTATTATTATTAGTATTCTTATTGTTATTATTATTATTAGTGTTGTTGGTGTTGGTGTTGGTGTTGTTGTTGTTGCTGGTGCTGTTGTTGTTGCTGTTGTTGTTGTTGTTGTTGTGGTTGTGGTTGTGGTTGTGGTTGTGGTTGTTGTTGTTGTTGTTGTTGTTGTTGATGATCAAAGTGTGCCCCTCGACGCTCGCACCCTGTTTTTTGACAGGGGAAGTCTTCCTGCTCAAACTGGCCCCCTGGCCCCCGGTTTACAACAACAGCGGCTCCCGCTTGAGACTTCCTTACAATTTAGCCAGGACCCCCGCTCCCGCCCGAGACTTCCTCGTATTTTATTCAGGAGTCGCGCTTTCGCTTGGGACTTCCTTACAATTTATGCAGGGATCGCTCTCCCGGCGCTCTGGAGTCGCGCTCTCGCTGGAGACTTGCTTGCAACTTACTGAAGAATGGCCTTGCGTTGGAATTTCCTGCAATTTGCCCAAGCGCCGCGCTCCCGACACCCAGGCGCCCAGGAGTCGTGCCCGTTGTGGCCCCATGTGCATGCCCTTCGTGGCCCCGCTGTCGCCATTTGCGTCCCCCTCAGTGTCCTACGTGGCCCAGTTGCTACCCTCAGTGGCCCCAAAGTTGCCTTCTGTGGCCCCGCATGATCTGCACTTCGTGGCCCCCGCTCGTTCGCGCTCTTCGTGGCCCCATACGCATTCCCTTTGTGTCCCCGCTGTCGCCCTTCGTGGCCTACTTCGTGCCCCTCGTGGCCCTGCTGTCGTTCTCTCTCGCTCTCGCTTTCGCTCGTCGTCGCCGTCGTCGTCGTCGCCGTCGTCTTCGACGTCGTCGTCGTCGTCGTCGTCGTCGTCGTCGTCGTCGTGGTCGGTCCCCTGTCCGTCCCTCGTGGGGTCGGGTCGACGGTCCGCGGCCGCCCCGCCGATCAGCGCTGCCGCTGGCCAGGCCGACGGTCCGCGGCCGCCCCGCCGCTTGCCGGGGCCCGGCCTGCAGGGAAGAAAGGTATACCCCCCAAAAGGGGTTCGATCGAAGACGAAGAGGGCGGGTATCGAGGGTTTGCGAAATACGCGTTATTGGACACTCGAGCATATAAGGGCGAACGGTCTTTAAATTATTATTAGTAGTGTTGTTGTTGTGGTTGTTGTTGTTGTGGTGGTTGTTGTTGCTGTTGTTGTTGTTGCTGTTATTATTGTTGGTGTTGTTGTTGTCGTCGTTGTTGTTGTCGTCTTTTTTGTTGCTGTTGTTGTTGGTGCCGCTGCTGCTGTTGTTGTTGTTGTTGCTGTTGCGGCTGCTGTTGTTGTTGTCGTTGTTTGTTGCTGCTGGTGTTGGTGTTGTTGTTGTTGTTGTTGTTGTGGCTGCTGCTGCTGTTGTTGTTGTTGTTGTGGTTGTTTGTGTTGTTGTTGTTGTTGTTGTTGTTGTTGTTGTTGTTGTTGTTGTTGTTGTTGTTGTTGGTGGTGGTGGTGGTGGTGGTGTTGTTGTTGTTGTTGTAGGTGTTGGTGTTGTTGTTGTTGTTGTTGTTGTTGTTGTGGTTGTTGTTGTTGTTGTTGTTGTTGTTGTTGGTGTTGTTGTTGTTGTTGTTGTTGTGTGTCGTCTTTGTTGTGTGTTTGTGTGCGTGTTTTGAGGCACGACTCCCCAGCATAACTGCAGCAACCGCTTTTCTAAGGGCCAGGGGCGGGCAGAGGGGAGGGACGGAGGAGCGACGGGGGCCCACCCTCGCATCCCGATGCTTATCCTATGCCTCAAGGCAGGAAGCGCTCGCACATGTTGAAACGTGGTCGCTTTGAGGGTCGGCGGCGAGCCTGGGGGGGAAGCGAGAGGGGGCGGGCCTCCTCAGAAGGCCCAGAAGGCCTCTGGCCTCTTGGGAAGCTTTGGAGAAGCTTTGAAGAAGCTTTGGAGAAGCTTTTGAGAAGCTTCTGGCCTCCTGGGAAGCTTTGGAGAAGCCTCCTCCGAGGGCAGCGGCGGCTCCTCGGAAGGCGGGGAGGGGCCCCGCCGCATGCTCAGGAGGGCCTGCCCCCTCTCGCTTCCTTGCTGGGCTCGCCGCCAAGGAGGCGCCAGGGGCGGAGACGAGGCCAAGGGAGGACACACGTGCGTACAGTGGAGAACCATGCCAAGAAACACCCTGCTTGCCTCCAGGGTGCGCTGGGTTTCGTGGGTTTCGATGGTTTTGCTGCGGAAAGCGCGACGCTCCCACACCAAAAACCAATTGTCCCGGCCAAACAACTTAACAGCGATGTGTAGGAGCATATCTGGAAGCATTCCCCTTAAGATTCAGATGCGAATCCAGTTGTAGAATTCTGCTGTTCTCGCAGTCGCAGTCGTATTCGCGATGCCAGTCGCAGTGGCAACGGCAGTCGCGGTCACAGCCTCAGCCTCAGCCTGCCTCAGCCTCAGCCTCAGCCTCAGCCTCAGCCTGCCTCAGCCTCAGCCTCAGCCTGCTTCAGCCTCAGCCTCAATCTGCCTTCAGCCTCGGCCTCAGCCTCAGCCTGCATCAGCCTCGGCCTGCATCAGCCTCAGCCTGCATCAGCCTCAGCCTCAGCCTCAGCCTCAGCCTGCCTCAGCATTAGCCTGCCTCAGCCTCAGCCTCAGCCTCGGCCTCAGCCTCAGCCTCAGCCTGCTTCAGCCTCAGCCTCAGTCTGCCTTCAGCCTCGGCCTCAGCCTCAGGCTGCCTCAGCCTCAGCCTGCATCAGCCTCAGCCTCAGCCTGCCTCAGCATCAGCCTGCCTCAGCCTCAGCCCCAGCCTGCGTCAGCCTCAGCCTCAGCTTGCTTCAGCCTCAGCCTCAGTCTTCCTTCAGCCTCGGCCTCAGCCTCAGCCTGCCTCAGCCTTTGCCTGCATCAGCCTCAGCCTCATCCTCAGACTGCCTTAGCATCAGCCTGCCTCAGCCTCAGCCTCAGCCTGCCTCAGCCTCAGCCTCGGCCTGCTTCAGCCTCAGCCTCAGTCTGCCTTCAGCCTCGGCCTCAGCCTCAGCCTGCCTCAGCCTCAGCCTGCATCAGCCTCAGCCTCAGCCTCAGCCTGCCTCAGCCTCAGCCTGCCTCAGCCTCAGCCTCAGCCTCAGCCTGCAGCCTCAGCCTCAGCCTGCTTCAGCCTCAGCCTCAGTCTGCCTTCAGCCTCGGCCTCAGCCTCAGCCTGCCTCAGCCTCAGCCTGCATCAGCCTCAGCCTCAGCCTCAGCCTGCCTCAGCCTCAGCCTGCCTCAGCCTCAGCCTCAGCCTGCAGCCTCAGCCTCAGCCTCAGCCTGCTTCAGCCTCAGCCTCAGTCTGCCTTCAGCCTCGGCCTCAGCCAGCAGCCTGCCTCAGCCTCAGCCTGCCTGCAGCCTCAGCCTCAGCCTCAGCCTGCCTCAGCATCAGCCTGCCTCAGCCTCAGCCTCAGCCTGCCTCAGCCTGCCTCAGCCTCAGCCTCAGCCTGCAGCCTCAGCCTGCCTCTGCCTTCAGCCTCAGCCTCAGTCTGCCTTCAGCCTCGGCCGCAGCCTCAGGCTGCCTCAGCATCAGCCTGCATCAGTCTCAGCCTCAGCCTCAGACTGCCTCAGCATCAGCCTGCCTCAGCCTCAGCCTCAGCCTGCCTCAGCCTCAGCCTCAACCGGCTTCAGCCTCAGCCTCAGTCTTCGTTCAGCCTCGGCCGCAGCCTCAGCCTGCCTCAGCATCAGCCTCAGCATCAGCCTCAGCCTCAGCCTCAGCCTGCCTCAGCATCAGCCTGCCTCAGCCTCAGCCTCAGCCTGCCTCTGCCTCAGCCTCAGCCTGCTTCAGCCTCAGCCTCATCTGCCTTCAGCCTCGGCCTCAGCCTCAGCCTGCCTCAGCCTCAGCCAGCCTCAGCCTCAGCCTGCCTCAGCCTCAGCCTCAGCCTCAGCCTTCAGCCTCAGCCTCAGTCTGCCTTCAGCCTCGGCCTCAGCCTCAGCCTGCCTCAGCCTCAGCCTGCATCAGCCTCAGCCTCAGCCTCAGCCTGCCTCAGCATCAGCCTGCCTCAGCCTCAGCCTCAGCCTGCCTCAGCCTCAGCCTCAGCCTGCTTCAGCCTCAGCCTCAGCCTGCCTTCAGCCTCGGCCTCAGCCTCAGCCTGCCTCAGCCTCAGCCTGCATCAGCCTCAGCCTCAGCCTCAGCCTGCCTCAGCATCAGCCTGCCTCAGCCTCAGCCTGCCTCTGCCTCAGCCTCAGCTTCAGCCTCAGCCTCAGTCTGCCTTCAGCCTCGGCCTCAGCCTCAGCCTGCCTCAGCCTCAGCCTGCCTCAGCCTCAGCCTCAGCCTGCCTCAGCATTCAAAATGTGGCCCGGGAATGGAGTTCTGGGAACTCGAAGAACACGAAGTGGCCTACAGTTGGCTCCGGGCATTCAAAATCATGTCCAGAAATGGAGTTCTTGGAACTCGAAGAGCACGAAGTGGCCTACAGTTGGCTCTGGGCATTCAAAATCATGCCCAGGAATGGAATTCTGGGAACTCGAAGACCACGAAGTGGCCTACAGTTGGCTCTGGGCATTCAAAATCATGCCCAGGAATGGAGTTCTGGGAATTCGAAGACCACGAAGTGGCCTACAGTTGGCTCCAGGCATTCAAAATCATGCTCAGGAATGGAGTTCTGGGACCTCGAAGACCACGAAATGTGTAATTGTTTGCTTAAAGCGACTTCCGCGGATCCCTGTCCGGATGCCGCCCAGACCCCCCTGGGGAGTCATGATGCTCTCTTTTGACCCTACTAGAAACCTATCAGTCTTCGCTGTTAGGTAAAAACCAAGGACCTTCCTGGGGTCTCAGGGTTGACCTTCTGGTGGGAGGCTGCTTGTGGACTGGCCTCCGCTGTACCGCGGTGGACTGGGCCCGTCGCCCCCTGGGCCCGGGGTCTCTTCTGTCTCAAAAGGAGACGGCTGGGATGCGGAGTGCGTGGTGGGGTCAGGTGCGGTTCAGGGTGGGGTCCCGGCAAGAAGTCGCGGGGCTGGGGGGTCCGCGCAAAAGAGCTCCTCCAGCGCGTGGGGATGCCGGTGCCTGGTGGTGGTCCACGTGCGGGTCAGGGTGGGGTCGCCGGCGGGGATGCCGCCAGGGACGCTGCCCCAGACCAGCTCGCGGCGCTGGCCGAGCCGCCGCCGCGCGAGCCGTCTCCGGACAGGAGCGGCTGGACGGCCGAGGAACCTCTCGCCGTCGCCGTCGTCGTCGTCGTAGTCGTCGTCGTCGTTGCCGCCGTCGTCGTCGTCGCCGTCGTCGTCGCCCCTTTCGTCTTCGCCGTGGTCGTCGTCGAGGTTCGAGGATTGATGTTTTTTTGAGGGGGAGCGTCCAGGATACTCGGGACCTTGGCGGCGGAGGACGGCCTCCGTCGTCGTCGTCGTCGCCATCGTGGCCCTCCTTCTGCGGCCGCCGCCGCCGTCGCGGTCGCTGTCGTCGTCGTCGTCGCCGTCGTCGCCGTCGCCGTCTTGGTCTCTCCTCATTCCTCCCCCTCCGTCCTCCCTTCTCTGTCCTGCGTCCTCCTCCGGGAGGGGGAGGGAGACAGGGAGGGAGGGGGGGGCAGGGAGAGAGGATGAGGAGGTCGGGGCTAGGAGGGTAAAGGAATGATGTCTGTTATGTTCCAATTTGCTTTCGGAAGCTCCTGGCGACGCAGCACCGTCTCGAGAAGTACGTGCCTTTTCATCGTTCTAGGTATGAGCACTACAAGGTAGGATCATTCAGCTCGAGAACGCTGTCCAGCGATAGCCGCGTTTTGAAAGAGGAACCGCCCTCCATCCGTGTAATTTGTTGTGTAAGTGTGTGCGTGTGTGTATTTTTCTCCGAGCAGTGCTTGCACTCAGAGGTTCACACTTGTCTCAACTTGTTTCAACTTGTTCCAAAGAGGAATTGCATTGGTCTGGCGAGGATTTTCCACGCTGCCGCCCGTGGCTGCCTCGTGGCCGCCCGGTGGCCGCCTCGTGGCCGCCTTGAACGCTGGATGTCCGGCGAGGTTTCGCCACCTGGCCGCCCGTAGCCGCCTCGTGGCCGCCTCGTGCGCTGGGTGGGTCCGGTGAGGTTTCGCCATGTTGCTGCCCATGGGCCCGGGGAGGTTTAGCCACGTTGCGGCCCGCGGCCGCCTTGTGGCCGCCTCGTGCGCTGTGTGGGTCCATGGGGGTTTCGCCTCGTTGCGGCCCGTGGCGCCTTGTGGCCGCTTCGTGCGCTGGGAGGATCTGGCGAGGTTTCGCCACGTTGCCGCCCGTGGCTTCCTCGTCGCCGCCTCGTGCTCTGGGCGGGTCCGGCGAGGTTTCGCAACGTTGCCCGTGGCCGTCTCGTGGCTGCCTCGGTCGCTGGGTGGTTCGGGCGAGGTTTCGCCACGCGGCCGATTCGTGGCCGCCTCGTGCGCTGGGTGGGTCTGGCGAGGTTTCGCCAGGGTGCCGCCCGTGGCCTCCTCGTGGCCTCCTCTAGCTTGCGCAATGTATGTCCAGTTTCTAGAAAAAGAACAGACCCTCCCCCCCGTTTATCGCCCCCCCCCTGAGATAATACAAGCTACACATGAAATGCCTCATCGCTTGTTTTGCAACTTAGTAATCGGGCGTCCCGTCTATGCCCCCCGCACTCGTGTCAAAGAGTACTCCGCGTTCACATGCGCTTGTCAAGGCAACAAGTTTCAGTAATCCCTCGCAACAGGTTTGACAGAGTCCACGCGCGCGCGTCGTCGCGCGCGCATGTCGGAATCCTTCAGAACCGTAGTTTTCGTAAGGATTTCAAGGTGGATGTTTTCGAACACAAATGCAAAATATGTTCTTCAACGCGTTTTGCAACAGAATTTGCGCGCGCGCTTTTGCGAATTATCAGGAAGACCTCAGGTGTACCGCATCTTCTCTGAATGAGACCACGCGGGCCTCTCGCGCGCGCATGCCGAAATCATTCGAACGCCCTTGTGCGCTTGCGGGGGGTGGGGGGCGCGATCCCTTTCAAACAATAACATGCGGGCCGCTCTCGAAATCCTCCCAAAACCTTCATCAGCGACACATGGACATCATCGTCACCGGCGTGACCAGCATCGGCGCCGTCATTAGCCTTGCCATCATCGTCGTCGCCATTATTGTCGCCATCATCGGTACTATCATCATCGTTTCCGTCGTTGTCGACGTCACCATGATACCGCGCTCGCCCGAGTCACCGACTGGCGCTAAACGCCCGAGCGCCAGCGCAGCTTGTCAGACGCGCTGGGAAGTCCCCATCGGTCAGCGCCAACGCGGCCGCGTCGGTTGTGCCGAACTAGCAGGCTGCTTTGCGCGCGAGTTTTGCGCGCTATCGCGGCCGCAGAGATGCGCCATCCACCGCCAAACAATCATCGCGATCGCTGGCGCATGGGTTTTGCAAACCAATTTGCGGGTGGGAGGGTGGAAAGGTTGGGCGAGCAATAAAGTTGACAACCCTTGTCAAAAAACAAAAAAAACATATTCGCTCCACAGCTTGCACCACTTAGCTCGCGCCACCTAGCTTGCACAACCACAGTGCAATAACTGAATGTCCGGGGTATCCTGGTTAATTAACTCACATATATATAGATCTGCTGCCGCACATGGACTCAGAGGAAGTGTCAAACGAGAGACCAATTGTGAAGACCGGCCGCCGTCCATCCGTGTAGCGCTTGGACACTTTGACATTCTCCCGCCATTTGCTACGAGGACGTGTTAAATGACAGACCTTTTCTCCGATTCCCATCCTTGTAGCCCAGGCAAGCTGCTAAGACAAATCTGCGTGGCGCTATGGTGACAACTGTATGTCGAACACCACCCCGCACCGTGTCGAATAATGTGCGCAGTGCTATAGTGAGTGTCGCCGAAGACATCCCCACCCCCATCCGTGCAACATTTCGAACCTTCTCCTGCGAACTTTCGGGGCGCTCAGGCGATGACCACCGTCTGACAGCGATTCACCGTCCATCCGTGTGATTGTTGGAAGTGTATAGCGTAATGGTCGTTCCATATGGCCCCGCTGGCACGTCTAACTTTTTGGACTCGTCGTTCCTCCCCCAGCCGTTGTGGAACCCCTTTTAGGGGATGTTTGGGAGGAACATAAATTTTGGAGGACAGAGGGGATATGGAGGGAACGAGGAAGAAGAGGCCTGTTGGTAGCCTCTTGGAGGCGTGTTGGATATCTCTTGGGGGCCTATGGCCTCCTCGGGCTTCTCGGGGGCCTCTAGGGGGCCTTTTGGCATTCGGACGCTTTAGGGCCATCTTGGAGGTCTCTGGGACCGTCTTGGGGACCTCTTGGGACCATGTTGGGGGCATCTGGGATTTTAAGAGCATTTCCGATGCCACGTAGTGAAATTGTAGGCTCCGACAGCCCCAGAGGTACGTGGGGGAGCTCGCCCCCCTCCCCCTAACAGGATTTCGGAATCCTGGGGAGGGGGGAACGGGGAGGAGGACAACAAACATTTCACACGCATTTTCACCAGCGGCAAGCGGGGGTGGTTGGACGTAGTACGATCACGTGTCCACCGTGTGCAGATCTTGAGTCTACCTGTCTGTGTATGATTTCGAAAACGCCTACGGCGAATCACTGCCGCTCCTTGCCTTTGGGATACGCCTATGTGGCCGAGTATTTGGGCAACATTTGGCCACGCCATTGGACCATGCTGCCCCCCAGCCGTTATGAAGCCCTTCGGGGAACACGTGGGGGAGGAAGAGGAGGATGAGGAGTGGGCGGAAAAAGGAAGACGAGAAGAAGGATGAGGAATCCTGGCAGCTTTTTGGGCCATTCTTGGGGCCTCCTGTGAGCTTCCTGGGGGCCTCTTGGAGGCCTCTTTGGGGCCTCCTTGGGCTGGGCTTCTTGGGGGCCTTCGGGGTTTTCTCGGGGAACCGTTGGCCGTCTTGCGACGTTCCCGGCCTGGAGCGTTGTGGCAAGAGCTCTGCCGAGCTACGGGCCATGTGCTTCCCCAGCCGGTGTAGAAACCCTTCGGGGAACACTTGGGGAAGAATGGCGGGGAGGTCAGGAGGATGAGGACGAGGAGGAGGAGGAGGAGGCATTTTGGGAGCCTCTGGGAGCACTCTTGGGGCCTCCTGGGAGCTTCCTGGGAGCCTTTTGGAGGCATCTAGGGGGCCTCCTTGTGCCTCTTGGGGGCCTTTGGGGGCTTCTCGGGGGCCTTTTGACGGTCTTAGGGCATTCCTGGCCCGCCTGACGCCGTCGGAAGCCGTCTTGGTGGCCTCTCTGGACCGACTTGGAGTCTTTGTGGGCGATCTTGGGGCGACCTTTGGGGGCTCTTGGGTCGTCTCGGGCCGTCGGAAGGCCGAACAGAAGCAAATGCCAAATTCCTTCAAAAATCAATATAAAGTCAATGATTTTGGCCTTTTCGGGCCTTCCTGGAGGGCCTCTTCGAGGCCTCTTGGGCCGTCTTAGAGCCCTCTTGGGGGCCTCTTGGGCTGTCTTGGGCCATCTTGGAGCCATCTCGGGCCGTCTTGGTGGCCTCGTGGCCCGTCTGACGCCCTCGGGAGCCGCCTTGAGGCCGTCTGGAGTAGGAAAAACCTTGAGAACCATCCCGCCCAGAGCTGTCCGGGTCTTTCCGGGTGGCCGGCGGGACGGGCCGAAGCCCCAGGGGGAGTTCTTTTGGAGAAGAGCCCAAACCAAAAACCGTAAGAAGTCTAGCATGCCAGGCACCCCTGTGATGCATCAACAGGGGGCGGCGGAAGACAGAAAGCGCGCGTAGCGCCGCGATCCATTAGTCGGGAGAAATAAGAAGGGAGGTGTGGGGGGTAGGCAGCTGGAGGGTCAGGTGACAGAAAGAGCGAGGTACATACGAGTGATGACGTTCTGGTGGGGCGAAAGTCTCCAGGGAGGGGTCCAGGGGAGGGGCGAGGCGGACCCGGACGGGATGACAGAAAGAGCGAGGTACGAGGTATGTGCGTTATTTGGTGGGGCGAAGCCCTTAAGGGAGGCGTCCAGGGGAGGGGCGAGGCGCGCGCGACCGGGATGTAATGGCTAGCTGTCCTTGTATTTTTCGAGTGAAGCGGCTCCCGGGCGGCTCCCATGGCCCGTTTCCTTGTTACCTAACAGCGAAGACTAATAGGTCTCTAGTGGGGTCAAAAGAGAGCATCCTGATTCCCCAGGGGGGTCTGGGCAGATGCCGGACGGGTGCCGCGGAAAACCAGCTCCCCAGAACATTATCCCAGGCCACATTTTGACTGCCCGGAGCCGACAGAACACCATTCCCAGGCCACATTTAGAATGCCCGGAGCCAACTGTAGGCCACTTCGTGTTCTTCGTGTTCCCAGAACACCATTCCCAGGCCACATTTTGAATGCCCGGAGCCAGCTGTAGGCCACTTCGTGATCTTTGTGTTCCCGGAACACCATTCCCAGGCCACATTTTGAATGCCCGGAGCCAGCTGTAGGCCACTTCGTGTTCTTGTGTTCCCGGAACACCATTCCCAGGCCACATTTTGAATGCCCGGAGCCAGCTGTAGGCCACTTCGTGTTCTTCGTGTTCCCTGAAGACCATTCCCAGGCCACATTTTGAATGCCCGGAGCCAGCTGTAGGCCATTTCGTGCTCTTCGTGTTCCCAGAACATTTGTCCTGTGCCATATTTTGAGTGCCCGAGCTGAGGCTTGCTGAGGCCGAGGCAGGCTGAGGCCGAGGCAGGCTGAGGCTGAGGCTGAGGCACGCCGAGGCAGGCTGAGGATGAGGATGAGGCTGAGGCAGGCTGAGGCTGAGGCAGGCTGAGGCTGAGAGGCTGACGCAGGCTGAGGACGAGGCAGGCTGAGGCTGAGGCTGAGGCAGGCTGAGGCTGAGGCAGGCTGAGGCTGAAACTGAGGCAGGCTGAGGCTGAGGCTGAGTAGGCTGAGGCTGAGGCTGAGGAGGCAGGCTGAGGCTGAGGCTGAAGCAGAGGCAGGCTGAGGCTGAGGCTGAGGCAAGCCGAGGCAGGCTGAGGCTGAGGCTGAAGCCGAGGCAGGCTGAGGCTGAGGCTCAGGCTGTGGCTGAGGCTGAGGCAGGCTGAGGCCGAGGCAGGCTGAGGCGGAGGCTGAGGCAGGCTGAGGCTGAGGCAGGCTGAGGCTGAGGCTGAGTCAGGCTGAGGCTGAGGCTGAGGCCGAGGCAGGCTGAGGCTGAGGCCGAGGCAAGCCGAGGCAGGCTGAGGCTGAGGTTGAGGCTGAGTCTGATGCTGAGGCAGGCTGAGGCTGAGACAGGCTGAGGCTGAGGCTGAGGCAGGCTGAGACTGAGGCAGGCTGAGGCTGAGGCCGAGGCAGGCTCCGGTCGAGACAGGCTGAGGCTGAGACTGAGGCTGAGGCTGAGGCCGAGGCAGGCCGAAGCTGAGGCAGGCTGAGGCTGAGGCTGGGGCAGGCTGAGGCTGAGGCAGGCTGAGGCTGAGGCTGAGGCAGGCTGAGGCCGAGGCAGGCTGAGGCTGAGGCTGAGGCAGGCTGAGGCTGAGGCCGAGGCAGGCTGAGGCTGAGGCTGAGGCAAGCCGAGGTAGGCTGAGGCTGAGGCTGAAACTGAGGCAGGCTTAGGCATCCGTAGGAATCCATAGGAATCCTTTGGAATCCCTAGGAATCCTTAGGAATCCGTAGGCATCCTTAGGAATCCGTAGGCATAGTTAAGCATCCTCAGGAATCCTTAGGAATCCTTGGGATTCCTCAGGAATCCTTTGGATTCCCTAGGAATCCCTAGGAATCAGGATTCCTAAGGTTTCCTAAGGATTCCTATGGATTCCTAAGGATGCCTAAGGATGCCTTAGGAATCCCTAGGAATCCTTAGGATTCCATTGGATCCTAAGGCCGTTGCCACTGCGACTGTCATTGCGAATGCGACTGCGACTGCGAGAACAGCAGAATTCTACAACTGGACTCTCACCTGAATCTTAAGGGGAATGCTTCCAGATATGCTTATACGCGTCGCTGTTAGGTTGCTTTGCCGGGATCATATTTCGAGTTTTGCGGTCCAAGGGCTCCAAGACGGCCCAATGGGAAAATGTGCCTGCGCGTTTTCGATTGTCTACCCTCGTTTGAGGGTTGGAGGCTAGGTATGTGTATATATATATATATATCCGTAGGTTGTCATATTTTCTGTTCACGCATGCCTACATATGTATACACGCGTTCTTACATTTCTATACAGATGTACCCTAGCGAAAAGACTTTTCCGAAGCCTCACCACGTCACGAATGTTACTACTCCGGCCCACTTCTCGTGCGACGGGAGCAGCGAAGGATTACGCACGCGAGAGCAAGAGCAAGGGCGACGCCGCGTTCAAGAAAGGCGACTGGCGTGACGCCACCATCTTCTACACGCGCGCCATAGACCGCACTCCGAACGACGAGAAGCTTTACTCAAACAGGTCTTCCGTCCTTCCTCACGGGGGGGGCGCGACGGGGATGCTGATGATGGTGCTGATGATGATGATAATGATGATGATGGGTGATGATGATGATGATGATGATGATGATGACGATGGTGATGATGATGTTGATGACAGTGATAGGTGAGGATGAGGATGATGATGAGGATGATAACGGTGGTAGTGAGGATGATGAGTATGGTGCAGCATATGATGATGATTGTGCTTACGGTGATGATGATGATGCTGATGATGATGATGATGACGTTGCTGCTGATGATGGTGGTGATGATGATGTTGACGATGAAGATGCTGATGCTGATGATTCTGTTGTTGATAATGATGATGATGCTGGTGATGGTTATTGTGATTGTGATGCTGATTATGCTGCTGATGATGCTGAGGATGAGGGTACGGATGATGCTGCTGCTGATGACGATGATGACGATGACGATTACGATCACGCTGAAGATGACGATGATGATGCTGATGATGATGATGATGATGCTGATGATGATGATGCTTTTGTCGAATATGGCGATGATTATGAGGATGCATTTGCGGGTGATGATGGTCATGATGATGATGATGATGATGATGATGATAATGATGATGCTGATGATGGTGATGCTGATCATGATGGTGCTGATGCTGCTGCTGCTGATGCTGATGAAGATGAAGATGATGATGATGATGATGATGATGATGATGATGATGATGCTGATGCTGATGATGATGCTGATGACGCTGATGATGCTGATGATGCGGATGATGGAGAAACTGATGATGATGCTGCTGATGATGATGTTGATGCTGACGCTGCTGCTGCTGATGATGATGATGATGGTGGTGGTGATGATGATGCTGATAATGATGATGTTGATGATGATGCTGCTGATGATGATGATTATGACAAGGAGGAGGAGGAGACGGAGGAGGAGGAGGAGGAGGAGGAGGAGGAGGAGGTGGATGATGATGATGATGCTGATGATGATGCTGATGATGCTGATGCTGATGATGATGATGATGATGATGATGATGATGATGATGATGATGATGATGATGATGATGATGATGATGATGATGATGATGATGATGATGATGATGATGATGATGATGATGATGATGATGATGATGATGATGATGATGATGATGATGATGATGATGATGATGATGATGATGATAATGATGAGGATGATGAGGATGATGAGGATGATGAGGATTATGATGATGAGGAGGAGGAGGAGGAGCAGGAGGAGGAGGAGGACGCTGAGGCTGAGGCTGAGGCTGAGGCTGAGGCTGAGGAGGAGGAGGAGGAGGAGGAGGAGGCGGAGGAGGAGGAGGAGGACGAGGAGGAGGAGGAGGAGATGCATATCTCTCGTTATCGTGATGTGCGACACTCACGAGGCTCCCCGAACCATCCGCTCACAGCGCAGGCCAACGCCTGCTTCCATGTCTTAGGAAAACTTGGCGGCCCTTCTACATTGCTGCAGTCGATTTCCTGAGACAGGACGTAAGAGAAGGTAGCAAGGCGCCAACAAGGGATGCTTGAAGGAGGCCCTGGAGGATGCCTTGGAGGCCTAGGTGCGGCCCGAAGGATACCATCGCGTGAAAGAAACGAGGACGCCTTGGACGCCGGGCAGGAGGATTCCTCGGGCCAGCATCAACGCAACACGCACCCGAACCGTAAGCGCTTTGGCCCTTGAGCCGCCTCGAGCGGCGTACGTCGGAGCCACCGTACTTTCCGCTTGAGCAGCATGCACAACGCACGAGGCACCTTGGAGGAGGCACCGACGGGGATGCCGCAAGGTCGGCCTCCCTCCTGAAGCAGCGGAAGTTCGACAGGGCCCTCGAGGATGCCAGGAGGTGCGCCTCGCTCAGCGCCAACTGGCCGAAGGCGGCCTCGCTTCTCTGGGCGAGTCCGGGGAGAGGAGGCTCTCTTATATAGCGAGGTACGGGGGCTTTCGCTCGTCTTGCATTGAATGTATATAGGCAATTTGCGTCCAATATCCAAGTAGCGCCCAGATAGCGCCGGACAGCGCCCAGTGGCGCCAAAATGGGGCCCACAGGCGCCATGTTTGGGACATGCATTGCGTTCGCTTTGCGCGGTAGTGGGGGCTATCGGACGCGCTATTGGGCGCCATGGGGGCGACAAGAAGCTTCCGTGAGTTGCTCGAAGGTCTGCGACCACGTGCGAACCCTACCCCTGCGGGGTATCGGACACCCCCGCAGGGGTTCATTCGGGTGCAGTCATCCTTTGAATGCTGAGCCCCATCCGTTTTTATCAGACACCTTAGCCTGCAGTGGTGGGGTTCACGTGTGGGCCCTTGAGGGCAGGAGAGGGTCGGGAGTCGCCACGCAGACGAGGAGTCCTCCGGAGAACGGGTCCAGACTTCGAGAACGGGTCCAGATTGCTCCGAGTTTCTTAATAACGTCACCCCCGCCGACAGCCCCGCATCGACCACCGTCGCGGGCAGCCACCGCGCGCCGAAGGCGCTCCGACCCCCGTCGCAGCGCGACGACGAGGCGAGGCTGACCCTCGTCGGGCGGGTTACCCCCCCAAGCTTGTTAAGAGACCCAGGCCAGTCTGTGTTTGACCCCGGCTTCCCCGGGGCCCCTCCCGGGCCGGTGGGGCCGTGTGAGAGCGGCTCGGGGTGAGAAGCTGGTCCAGGCGAAGGCCCCTCAGGACTCCTGCCCAGCCCTCCCCTCCCTGCCCCCCTGTTCTTCCTCACAGGTTCGCGATGACATGGCGGAGGATAGACCTACAGGCCCGCCTGAGGCTGATGAGGAGCAGGAGTGTGTAGAGGCACGTGCTTTTCTTGGTGACTCGCAGATGGAAACAGATCCTCCACTCCCGCCCGTTCCTGTGCCGCTAGCGCCTGAAGTCTTGGAGCGCATTGCGCAGAACCGTGCGCGGGCACGTAACAGAAGAGCTGCTAAACTCCAGGAAGAGAGACAGGCTCGCTTGCGCGAACTAGCCCGTTGGACCCTGGATTCGAAATTCGGCGGAGGCTTGTTTGGATAAGCAGCTGCCTGTCATCTATCATGAGAGGTTGGGGATTGTTGTTCAGTTGTTTGCGGATAAGTTGAGGTGCAGTGTAGCAAGTTGCCGTTGTCTTCTGTGCCGCCTTTTTCTGCCATCTCTCTCTGTCTGTCGCTCTCTGGTGGCATGCAACGCCGGGGGACCTACGGCATGATGACTCAGGACCATGCTGTTGCTGCCTTCTTTGCCTCGGTTACGATCTCGGCGCTTCTCTCTCTCCGTTCTGTCTCCAGCTGCCGCCCTAGTTCGAGGGGTTTCGGGTGCCGTGCCGTACGGCGAGCCTCTCTCGGGGCGGGCAGGCGCGCCCGCCTGCCCACGCCCGCGCATCGTGCTCGCCAGGCCATCTCAACCTCCCCACTTCCCTGGCTCGCTTTCAGTTTACTGTGGTCGGGGCCGGGGGTGGGATTGGCATGTGGACGGGGACGGGGTTTCTACTGTGGCGTTGGAACAGGCACTGGCCGCAGGTCGAGCGTGCGAAAATCGTGCACTCCCGCTGGCCCCTGCCTCGCACCCGCCCCCCACTCAGCCGCCTTTTCGTAGGCCTCTCTTGCCTCTTGGTGCGTCTCTTTTCGTTCGATCTCGAGCTGCCGCCCCAGGTCGAGAGGTTTTCGGGCGCAGTGCCAGGCACGGCGAACCTGAGGTTCGCCGTGCATCGGGGCGGTCAGAGACGCGTGCAGGCCCTGCCCGCGCATCGGACAAGCCAGGCAGTTTCACCTTCCCCACTTTCCCTGGGTTTAGGTTTGTCGGCGCGGACGTAGTTCGCACTGCGGCGATGAGGTAGGCATGGGACACAGCTCGAGCGCGCGAAATCGTGCACTCCCGCTGGCCCCAGCCTCGCGCGCGCCCATTTAGCTGCCCTTCCGGCCTTCTGCAGGCTATCTCACCTGCTTCCTTCTTTGATCGGCCTGCTCTTGCCTTTTCCCTACTCCTGTTGCGTTGCAGTGCGCCTTGAGCGCCTTCCGACGATATGGGGGTGGTGCGGGCTAGGTGACGGGGGCGGGGAGATTCACCATACCTTGGCGCCCGTGCTGCCAGATGCCGCGTGTTTCTGCCAGCAGCTGGTGAATGCCGCGCCAGGCTGACCGCCTCCTCGGCGAATCAGAACGCAATCCAAACAAATCCCTGTTTTTCCTTTGCCCCCGTCCCATCCTTTCTCCCGGCCTTCTCCTTGCTCCTCCCTTCGTTTCCCTCCTCGCTCTTATCCTCCGTCCGCCCCCCCGCCCCCCCCCCCCCCCATCTCCCTCATCCCATGTCCCTCCATGAGGGAGTGGGGGCGAGGAACGAGGGGGATGGGGGGGAGAGGAGGTGAGTGGAGAAGCAGAGGGGGGGACGAAGGGAACGGCGGAAAGGGAATGGGAAGGAGGGGAGGGACGGGGGTGGGGACAAGGGGGAGGGTGAAGAGGATTGGAGGCGTGGGTAGGGATGAAGAAAATGTGGGGAAAAAAGGGAGAGGGAATGGACATAAGAAGAGGAGACGAAGGGGCAGGGGGTTGGGACACGCATTGGTTTCGTGGGAAAGGGCGAGGGCAGAGGGGGGAACGAGGGTTGGGAAAAGGGAATCGGAGAGGAAAGGACAGTGGGAAAAGAGACGGAACAGGAATGAACGGAGGGGAAGGCGATAACGTCGAAGAGGTCTTAAGCTGGTGCCTCGTGAGTTTTGGCCCAGCTCGAGATCACGTCGCAATGCTTCTAGATTCGAGCCTCGATGGCTACCGGTCGAGCTGCGCAAGCATGCGTGCACACATGTGTGCAGTCATTCATGCGACAAGTTGTTTCAAGCGTCGTAGGTGGTGGCGAAATCTGATGGAGGAAGCCTGGCTCGCCCTACCCGCACGCGCGTTGGCATTGCGAGGATGAGTATTCAGTTGTTCAAGACGCTTCGCTTACACCGTCGGTCCCCTCCGGCTTGCGCAAGACGAGCCGGAAATTGCCAGACGAAGGGAGGAAAACACGCGCGAAACGGGGACACATTGTCCCGCAGATGTGTCTTGTACCCCCTTCTGCGCTCCATGCCCCTGCACGACATCGCCGATTGGACTCAGGTATGCCGTGTGGTTGACCGATGTTCAGATCATGATTTGATCGCCCGTCCGCCATCAGTCCCATTGGATCGGTCATAGCGAGGGATGGCCGCTGAATCCTTCCTGCCTATCTCCAGCAGGAGGCCAGACAAGGGCCAAATAGGCGTCAAGAAGGTCCGCACAGTGCCCCGATGTATGTGTCGAGCAGGGGCCCAAGAAGAGCCCGAGAGGGCCCAGGAAGGCTTACAGATCGGCCAGCTGCGAGCGTCCCCTTTGTTGAGCTCGAGCCCATGCTAGACTGCATTCGATCTGGGCCCGCGCCCGGGCCAGTCCTGCCCCATATCGGGGCCCAAGCGAGGGGCCCAAGAGGGGCCAACATGAAGATCGCCGAGTGCAGCTCGAGAGTTTCCCCCCCGAGTCCCCCTCGAAAACTATTTATCACCTGGGCCCTTACGAGTCGTCGGCCCCTGACTCGCGTGCCAGGCCTACTTCCGGCAGGGCCAGGCGTTGCGGGGGCTGCTGCAGTTCGACGACGCGGTCCTGGCTTTCAGGTCGGAGGAGAAAGTATCCACCATTCAGTGACAGGACGCAACTCCAGGGACGTTCAATTCAGCAACGGTGCTGGTAGACCCGTGCTCGAAAACCAGTCTGATCCAGCACAGTCCAGCTCAGTCCCGCTTAATCCAGCCCAATCGGGCTTCGGCTCAATCTGCGCTAGGGTGGAAGTCGAGCGCCCCCCAGAATGGATGCACCCCAGAGAGGGGTCCCCAGGGCCTACCTTTTTGCGTCACTTGGGCCTTCGTGGGCCAGGTCTTGGCGCACGCCGTGGCCTTTGCGACGTGATGCTTGTGGCCCCTCCTGACAAGAGTCCTCCTCGGGCCCAGCCTTGGCCCAGATCTTGGGCGGGTATCGGCTCCTGGCATGGCTGGGAGTCGCCGTGAATAAGGGAAAGGGGTCCAGACGTTTTTCACTGTGTCCGGCCGCTCCCCGGGGAAACTCGCGGGTGTGCAGGACCCGTCTCCCTCGGGGCTCCCGTCTTTTGCGTGCTGGTGGGCGTCCATTTCCACGGCTGGTTCGCGTCGTATCGACGCGTCGGCGAGCCCGCCGCGAGTGTTCCGTGTCACAGAAACGCCGCCGATGGTTCGATGCTGCTAGAGGCTCAACGCCTGTGTCGTCACCACAAGAGCCCGCCGTCGCAGATCTCTGGGCGCACGTTGGGCCCACGGACGCTCGGTGGTTGTCGTGGTGGATACGCTTCGGCCTCTTGTCAGGGAGGGCAAGTTCAGGGATGCCGCCAACCCGGACTGGGACAAGGAGCTCGAGAAGACGGAGCAGGAGAGGCAGAGGTGGCCTGGCCGCATGCTCGGAGGTGAGATGCCGCCCAGGGTACCCGGGTGCTGCGAGAAGGAGGGGGGGAGGACGAGGAGAACTGGAGATCTCCAGTTCTCCGGAGAGGGGGAAGGAGCAAGCTAGGAGCGCTCGCGTCATATCTGATGTCCTACCCCTCCCTCCCATCCCTTACCATGGCGTAGATCTCCTCTCTACTCGTACAGTCGGAACAGCATTACATGGCATAGCATGGCGTTGAATATCAACGCGTAGCATGACACAGCATGGCGTGGCGACGCTCCCAAATGGGGGCGGGGTTTCAAGACATCAACGAATCGTCACCGTATGTGGATTCACTTCTGATGCTTTCTTCGGGGGCATTTTCTAGATTTTGGGTCCTATTTGGAAGGACCGGAAACCATGCCGTGGCATGGCAGTGGAAATAATGACGCTGGCGCTGCAGCGGGAGATTCGGAACGAGCGGAAGCGCGGAAATGAGTCCAGCGCTGCAGCGGGAGCACGATTCGGAGCAAGCGGAAGCGCGGAAATAAGGCCAGCGCTGCAGCGGGAGCGCGATTCGGAACGAGCGGAAGCCCGAAAATGAGGCCAGCGCTTCGGCGGGAGCAGCATTTTGAAAATTACCCTAGCGGGTCAGGAGTAGCTTGGGAGATTTGACGAGAAGGCGGCGACGTGACATGGACGCATATCTTTCTGCGAGCGGCATTCGGACGGTTCGCAGGTCCCCAATGAAGGGGAACACGATGAGTATCTAAGTGAACCCCTGAGTCACTAAGGAAGACGCAAGGTCCAAAAGGAGACTGTGGGCAAGTGGCTTGAAGCGTCGGCGGGGCAGCAACAACATGACATGGCCCCCCCAAGGACGGCGAGGGCCCGCTCAGGTCTGCGCAGTGCCTCACTCCGCTGGGCCCAGCAGTAGCCTTCGAAAGTGGCGAGCCCACCAGCAGCCCTCGAAAATGGCGACGGGTTTGCAAATCGCAGCCCCCCAGGGCGCTTAGATCCGCGCGTTGCCTCACTCCGCTGGACCCACCAGCAGCCCTCGGAAGTGCAGTTTCGCAAGGGACGGGCGGCTACCGCTCAGATCCGCGCGGTGCCTCACTCCGCTGGACCCTCCAGCAGCCCTCGAAAATTTCGACAGCTTCGCAGATCGCAGCCCCCCAGGGACGGCGAGCTACCGCTCAGATCCGCGCGGTGCCTCGCTCCGCTGAACCCTCCAGCCGCCCTCGAAAATGGCGACAGCTTCGCAGATCGCAGCCCCCCAGGGACGGCGAGCTACCGCTCAGATCCGCGCGGTGCCTCGCTCCGCTGAACCCTCCAGCAGCCCTCGAAAATTTTGACAGCTTCGCAGATCGCAGCCCCCCGGGGACGGCGAGCTACCGCTCAGATTCGCGCGGTGCCTCGCTGCGCTGGACCCACCAGCAGCCCTCGAAAATGGCGACAGTTTCGCAGATCGCAGCCCCCCAGGGGACGGCGAGCTACCGCTCAGATCTGCGCGATGCCTCACCCCGCTGGACCCACCAGCAGCCCTTGAAAGTGGCGACAGTTTCGCAGATTGCAGCCCCCAGGGACGGCGAGCTACCGCTCAGACCCGCGCGGTGCCTCGCTCCGCTGGACCCACCAGCAACCCTTGAAAGTGGCGACAGCTTCGCAGATCGCAGCCCCCCTGGCAAGGCAAAAGGAGACAAGCAGGAAGGGGGGCGGAAGGCGGGAGGCAGGAGGCGGGATGAGGAGCAGGAGGAGGAGGAGGAGGAGGAGGAGGAGGAGGAGGAGGAGGAGGAGGAGGAGGAGGAGGAGGAGGAGGAAGAGTACGCGACCGCGGTGCTCTATTCAAAACGAATACCCAACCAAGGAGGGTTGGGAAACACCCTAGCGAAAACACGCATCCAGTGAATCTTCTGTGTGAAAACAGTACGCGGAGGCGGGCCTGATATCTTCCGGACGTCATCAGGGGTGAGGGGAGAGAGGAGAGCAGTAGTCATGATGACGGTGATGACGGAGGTGCGTGAGGATGGTCGTACGTGGCCAGTCGAGATCGTCCTCAGAGGTGTCTTCCATGAAGGAATCGTTGTAGGACGACGTGACGACGCCTTCCCTGGCGGGGTCTGAGGCGCTGGGATATCCGCTGCCGCCCTCGCCGCTGGTGGCGCAGACTGTCTGCTGGTATCTGGGGGGGGTCCCTGGCGGTGGCAGTGGCGGTCGCGTGTCGTGCGTGGGCGATGGGTGCCCAGCTGCTGAGCTCCGCGCCCAGGTGTGGCTGCGTCGCCGCTGCTGCTGCTGCTGCTGCTGCTGCTGCTGCTGCTGCTGCTGTCGGGTGGCCTGCTGCATCTGTCGGTGCGCCACCGCGGCGGCTTCGCCGTGGAAGTGGCGGATGTAAGTGGCGATGTAAGCGCCGCGGAAAATCTGTCCTTCCTCCTCCTCTTCCTCCTCCTCCTCCTCCTCCTCCTCCCTTGCCTCCGTCAGGGTCGTCGCGGTGGCCGCTAAGACTCAAGCACGAGCGGGTTCGCGCGGGCTGGTGTGCTGGGGCGGTTCAGCGATTGGAGGCGGGCGCCAGGGCGAGCAGACGGCGTCAGCCGAAAGCGCTAAGGTAAGGAAGAGCGGCCGCGCCACAGCCCGCGGCGCGAGGCTCGCAGCGAGAAGGCGGAGGGCGCCAGTGAACGCAATGAAGAGAAGATTAGACTGGGTGACGACCGTGGCCAGAAGCCAGAAGGACAGGGGGCTACGGGTGCTCGCCAATGCTTCCAACGGGGCAGAGCCGACGGCTGCAGCCGAAGGTCGTGTGGATCGTCCGGTCCTTCGGTCCCGGCGGCGGGCCCATTTGCTGGACGCACCCCGCCTGGATCGACCGAGGATCTGGCCAGCTGCTGGAATGGCCGGGCGCGCGACGGCAAGAGGTGGCAGCGCTGGGCATTCGTCGAATGCCTGATGGAGGAGTATCCCTTGGCAACGAGCTACTTGCCTGCCGCGATCACAAAGGAGGGGCGAATCGCGCGGAGCGCGCCGAGGCAGCCCGTCTGAAGGTTGTGCGGACTGTGCAAGCCCACCGCAAGTAGCGGGTGGCGCATCCAGCTAGCTAAAGCGCCCAGGAGTCTCAGGAAGATGCTTCGAAACAGTCGAAGGCGAGCCGCCGCGCGCAGGCGGAGACGCGGGATCCGAAAACGCCGCGGCACCACAAGAAGGACAGGAGGAGGTCGTCGGGGACCGTCGAGGAACGGTCGGAGGCCGAGGAGGCGTCGACAGCCGGGGGCTGGCGCGAGACACGCCATTCGAAGACAGGCAAGAACGGCGGCGTGCGAAAGGACAAGGAGTCGAAGGGCGGCATGTTTAAGAGGTAATAAGTCGAAGGGTTGTCTTAAGGTGGACATGGGCAAGGGCAAGGACACCCCTTGGCCAGAGCCTGGTCGTGTGTCACAGGGAGGGGCACTGGGGGAACCAATGCCCCTACCACTACGCAGACGGCAATGCAAGGTCCGACGAGGCCTTCGAGGAGCAAGAGGAGTCCGACGGTGGTCGGAAGCGCTGGGCGGAGGTGGAACGAGTCGGTGGCTCAAGAGAGGGGCCGTGGTTCCCCGCGTCGCGGCATGATCGCCGAGGGGCGACAGGCTGGAGCAGCGCGAGGTGGACATAACCCCGCATGGGGGGAAAGAGGAGGCTGACAATTTCTACGGGTCGACGACGATCCCGCCGATGCTATACATGTAAGGTAATGGCCGTGTTGGCCGGGCGAGCCCACTCGACGTTGTCGGGCGGGCGGAGTGCACTTAGATCCCTGCGGGCGACAGGAGGGGTACAGTGCTGATGATCTGCACTGCCATCTCCTCCCGCGTTCCTCTCTCGCCGCCCTTTTCGGGTCAGGCCGCCCTGACGAGAGGTCGGGGGGCGGCTGCGCCATCTTTGCCCCTCTGTGAGGGCCCGCCATTCGCGTGTGGTGAAAAAGTGCGCCACGTCGATACAAAGTATCACATCTTCCCCTGGACTGCTCGGGGCGGCGCCGTCGTTGGGGGGTTCGTGGGGCGTCGAGGCGTGTGTCCTTATCCCGTAGCCGCTCAGAAGCACAACGCAGAAGACGGTCTGGGCGTGCGCGGAGACCTCCGAGTGTATGCACATGGTGACGCCCGCCCGGAGGCGGCGTCCGCTAGTGCGCGGCTGGCTTGGCAGGCGGAGGGAAGGAGAGGGAGGGGGAGGGAGAAAAAAAGGGGCGAGAGATGAAAGACAAGGGGTTCTGGAAAAAAAAACACGCTTCAACCTTGATCTCTGGCACCTCCGCCGTCCCGAGAGAGGATTCACAGAAACGAATTGTTCCAATGCTGTTCTTATGCTGGATACACAGATGCCGGAATCACTTGCCGCGATATTGAAACCAATTCTTTTGACGCTGAAAGCAGTTGGCGGTGCCGAAGTCTTAAACACTAGTGGCTCCTCCCAGGGTGATTCCGGACCCTTCGTTGCTCCAGAAGCTTAGCGCCTTTTCGTTGATGCGCCGGGAGTGTGGGTTTCCTTCGCTCCTCGCTGGAGCGGAGCGTGTGCCAGTGCCGCGCGCCAGTTGTTGGCGCTCGCGCTTTGCAAGAAACCATTTCTTTATTGCTTGGGGCATGACGGGCGTCATGGCCCCCGCTCCCCCTCCCCCCCTATGACGTAACGCTCCCCCCCAGTGCGCTCTGGGCACTGCCGCCGTGCGCATTGGGATCCGCGTAGGTGTCCGCGTGGGAATCCGCATAGGTGTCTGGTCCGCAGGCGTCGTCGTCGTCGTCGTCGTCGTCGTCGTCGTCGTCGTCGTCGTCGTCGTCGTCGTTCGTCGTCGTCGCTCGTGGTTCGTCGCTCGTCGCTCATCGTCGTCGTGCGCGCGGACGCGGCTGGAGCCTATTTTTAAGTCCGCGCCGATGACGGCAATCATTTGGGGGTTGAGGAGGTCGATGACGTCACGTTTCGCGCCGGCGGCGTTTGGGAATGGTTAGGAATGACGGAGGACGGGTAGCACGAACATGTCGGTGGCGATATGCACCACAACGCCTGTGTACATCACAGTGCCCGCGTGCACCACAGCGCCCGTGTACACCACACCGCCGATGTACACCACAGCAGCCGCGTGCAACACAGCGTCAGTTTGTGCCACCGTGCCTGCGGGCACAGCAGCTCCTGTGTACACCACCGCGCCCCCGTACACCACGCCAGCCGTGCGCAACACAGCACCAGTGTACACCACAATGCCTGCGTGCACTACAGTGCCTGTGTACGCCACGGCGCCTGTGTGCACCACATCAGCCGTGTTCAACACAGCGCCATTGTTGTGTATAGAATTTCAGAAGTAGTCATTGTGACAAAATGGAGCGCGTGTGGATTCCAGAGACAACAATGGAAAACAAATCCTCATGGACAAGGGAGCGCCGCTGGAATCTACGAGTCCCCCCGAGTCTGCCTGCATCACCCTAACGCCCACTTGCGCCCAGGAGGCTCCAGCTAAACTGGCCGTCCGGGAACCGAGTGGACCGATTCAATCGACCATTCTGCGTTGCACGCTGAGATGCGCACGTGCGTTGTAACGCCAAGCCGCACGACAGGGGGTAGGAAGGAGGAGAAAGAGGACGAGGAGGAGGAGGAGAAGAAGGTGGAGGAGGAGGGGAAAGGGGAAAACGTCGCATTCGATTAGCAGAAGTTTCCTGGCGTGGCGTTTAGTTGTCCGCATCAGATCCTGACGTACATGCTCCTTCTACCTGTCCTATGCACGCAGGCATTGTGGTGTACACCAGCGTTGCGTTGCACGCGGATGCTGTGGTGTAGACAGGCGCTGTGGCGTGCACGGGCGCTGCGGTGCACGCAAGCCTTGTGGTGTACACACGCGTTGTGTTGCACATGGCTGCTGCGGTGTGTGTACACCGGCGACGTAGTGTTCCCAAGTATTGTGGTATACGCGGCCGGTGCGTTGCATACGGCTGTTGCGGTGTACGCAGGCGCTGAGGTGCACACGCGCGGCGTGGTGCACGCGAGCGTTGTGGTGTACACAAGCGCAATGGGCAGATCGCCACTTACATGCTGCTCGCGTTGTTGTCGTCGCTCGTCGCTCGTCGCTCGTCGCGTCGTGCGCGCGGGCGCGGCTGTGGTGCCGGACCCACACGGCGGGGGGGGGGGCGTCACGTCATACCCCCCCCCGCCCTCCCCCCCCCCATGACGCCCCTCATCGCCGAACATAAAGAAACGCCTTCCAAGTTGAATGCGGACGGATAAGCTCCCCCCCAGTCGCGTTTTCCAGAAGGGGGAGGCCACAGCCGGGGAGGCAGAAGGAGGCCCACGGGAGACCTGCGTGCCCGAGGTGCGAACGTCGACGACGACGACGACAGCGACGCCTCCTCGGCCCCGCCCCGTTCCCGCCCCCGCCGCGCCCCCCCCTATCCAGCGCGGCAGGTGGGAGGAGAAAACGAGGGCGGAGCGAAGGCCGCCACGCGACGTCCCGAGGGGGGCCTTGCGAAGCCAGGAGGGGCGAGGAGGAGGGGGCAATTGTGATGATGATGATGATGATGATGATGATGATGATGATGATGATGATGATGATGATGATGATGGTGATGATGGTGATGATCGTGGTGGTGGTAATAATTTTGAGAATGATGATGGTGGTGGCGGTGGTGATGATGATGATGATAATGGTGATGATGAGGATGATGATTATGGTGGTGATGATGATGGTGGTGGTGGTGATGATGATGATGATGGTGGTGATGATGAGGATGATGATTGGGATGATTATGATGATGATGGTGGTGGTTGTGGTGGTGACGATGATGATGCTAATGGTGGCGATGATGATGAGGATGATTATTATGATGATGGTGGTGATGATGAGGATGATGGTGGTGGTGATGATGATGGTGGTGATGATGAGGATGATCATTGTGTTGATGATGATGGTGGTGGTGGTGGTGGTGATGATGGTGGTGATGATGAGGATGACGGTGGTGATGATGCGGATTATGATGATGATGATGATGGTGGTGGTGATGATGATGATGATGATGATGATTATGATGATGATGCTAATGAAGATGATGATGATGATGATGATGATGATGATGTTGATGATGATGATGATGATGATGATTGTGGTGGTGGTGATGATGGTGGTGATGATGATTATGATGATGCTGATGATGATGATGATGGTGATAATTATGATGGTGGTGGTGATGATGATGATAGTTGTCATGATGAGGATGCTGATTCTGATGATGATGATGATAATGATGATGATGGTGGTGCTGGCGGTGATGATGGTGATGGTGGTGGTGATGAGGATGATGATTATGGTGATGGTGATGATGGTGATGGTGGTGGTTGTTGTGATGATGATGATGATAATGATGGTGGTGATGATGAGGATGACTATGGTGATGATGATAATGGTGGTGGTGATGATGATGCTGGTGGTGATGATGATGATGATTCTGATGATGATGCTGGTGGTGGTGGTGATAATGATGGTGGTGATGATGAGGATCATGATGATGATGATTGTGATGATGATTATGATGATGATGATGATGCTGGTGATGATGATGATGGTGATGATGATGATGGTGGTGATGATGATGCTGGTGGGAATGATGATGATGAGGATGATGGTGGTGGTGGTGATGATGATGATGATGTTGGTGATGATGCTGATGTTGATGATGACGGTGATGGTGATGATGATGATGGTGGTGGTGGTGATGATGATGATGATGGTGGTGATGGTGATGATGGCGGTGGTGGTGGTGATGATGATGATGATTCTGATCATGATGAAGATGATGAGGATGATTATGATGATGATTTTGGTGGTGGTGGTGATGATGATGTGATGATGGTGGTGATGATGATGATGATGATGGTGGTGATGCTAAGGATGCTGATGCTGATGGTGATGATGATGATGATGGTGATGGTGGTGGTGATGATGATGGTGGTGATGATGAGGATGATGATTATGGTGATGATGATGGTGATGCTGATGATGATGATGATCATGGTGGTGGTGGTGGTCATGATGATGATAATGGTGGTGATGATGAGGATGATGATTATGATGATGCTGATGATGATGATGATGATGATGGTGGTGGTGGTGATGATGATGGTGGTGATGATGAGGATGATGAGTATGGTGATGATGATGATGGTGGTGATGATGGTGGTGATGGTGGTGGTGATGATGATGATGGTGGTGATGATGAGGATGCTGATTATGACGATGATGGTGGTGGTGATAATGGTGGTGATGATGAGGATGATGATTATGATGATGCTGATGATGATGATGATGATGGTGCTGGTTGTGGTGATGATGATGGTGGTGATGATGAGGATGATGAGTATGATGATGATGCTGATGATGATGATGGTGGTGGTGATTCTGATGATGGTGGTGATGATGAGGAGGCTGATTATGGTGATGAGGCTGATGATGATGATTATGGTGATGATGATGATGATTGTGGCGATGATGAGGATGATGATGATGATGGTGGTGGTGGTTGTGGCGACGATGATGATGGTGATGGTGATGATGAGGATGATGATTATGGTGATGATGATGATGATGGTGGTGGTGGTGGTAATGATGATGATGATGGTGGTCATGATGAGGATGATGCTGATTATGATGATGATTCTGATGATGATGATGATGATGGTGGAAGTGGTGATGATGATGATGGTTGTCATGATGAGGATTATTCTTATGGTGATGATGATGATGATGATGATGATGATGATGATGATGATATGATTGTAGTGATGGGTGGTGATGATGAGGATGATGATCCTGATTATGATGATGATGATGATTATGATTATGATGATGATGCTGATGGTGGTGGTTGTGGTGGTGATGATGATTATGGTGGTGATGATGACGATGATGCTGATGATGATGATGGCGACGACGATGATCACGATGCTGATGATGATGATGGTGGTGGTGGTGGTGGAGGTGATGATGATAATGGTGGTGATGATGAGGATGATGATGATGATGATGCTGATGATGATGGTGGTGGTGATGATGATGGTGGTGCTGATGAGGGTGATGCTTACGGTGATAATGATGCAGATGATGATGGTGGTGGTGGTGGTCATGATGATGATATTGGTGGTGATGATGAGGATGCTGGTTCTGATGATGATGATGGTGATGATGGTGGTGGTTGTGTTGGTGGTGGTGATGATGATGGTGTTGATGATGAGGATGATGCTGATGATGATGATGATTGCGACGACGACGACGACGATGATGATGATGCTGATGATGATGGTGGTGATGGTGGTGGTGATTATGATGATGATGGTGGTGATGATAAGGCTGATTGTGGTGATGATGGTGATGGTGGTGGCGGTGGTGGTGGTGATGATGATGATGATGGTGGTGATGATGAGGATGATGATTATGGTGATGATGGTGGTGATGATGATGATGATGATCATGATGGTGGTGGTGGTGGTGATGGTGATGATGGTGGTGATGATGAGGATGCTGATTCTGATGATGATGATGCTGGTGGTGGTGGTGATGATGATGATGATGATGGTGGTGGTGATGATGAGGATGATGATTATGGTGATGCTGATGATGATGATGGTGGTGGTGGTGGTGGTGATGATGGTGGTGATGATAATGATGGTGGTGTTGATGATGGTGGTGGTGGTGATGATGATGATTGTGGTGGAGGTGGTGTTGATGATGATGGTGGTGATGATGATGATGATGATGATGATCATGGTGATGATGATGATGATGATGATGGTGGTGCTGGTGATGATGATGATGGTGGTGATGATGATGATGATGATGTTGAGTATGGTGATGCCGATGATGTTGATGGTGGTGGTGGTGATGATGATGATGGTGGTGATGATGATGATGACGATGATGATGATGATGATCATGATGATGTTGGTGGTGGTGGTGATGACGCTGATGGTGGTGACGATGAGTATTGTGATGATGATCATCATGATGGTGATGATCATGATGATGATGATGATGATGTTGTTGTTGTTGACGATGATGATGATGCTGCTGATGATGATGCTAAGGATGATGACGATGACGACGACGATGATGATGATGATGTCCATGATGATGGTGATGATGATGATGGTGGCGATGACGACGACGATGACGACGACGATGATGATGATGATGACGATGATGATGACGACGAGTATGATGATGATGAGGATGATGATGATGATATTGATGGATGATGATGATGATGATGCTGATGATGATGATGATGATGATGACGATGATGATGATGATGATGATGATGATGATGATGATGATGATGATGATGATGATGATGATGACGATGACGACGACGAGGAGGAGGGGGAGGATGATGAGCAGGAGGATGAGGATGAGGACGAGGATGATGAGGAGGAGGAGGAGGAGGAGGAGCAGGAGGAGGAGGATGAGGAGGAGGAGAAGGAGGAGACAGGAGGGAGGAGAAGGAAGAGAAGGAGGAGAAGGAGGAGGAGGAGGGAGGAGGAGGAGGGAGGAGGAGGAGTGAGGGAGGAGGAGGGGAGGCGCGGAGGAGGAGGAGGAGGAGGAGGAGAGGAGGAGGAGGGAGGAGAGGAGGAGGGAGAGGAGGAGGAGGAGGCGCAGGAGGAGGGGGGAGGAGGAGGAGAAGGAGGAGGAGGAGAAGGAGGAGGAGGAGGAGGAGGAGGAGAAGGCAGGGAGGCAGGGAGGCAGGGAGGCAGGGAGGCAGGGAGGCAGGGTCGGGAGGAGGAAAGGGGGCGCGAGGACGAGGGACAAGAAAAGCAGGGGTCGGCGCAGCAGCGACGGCTTCGGCGCGAGGTCGGCCCGAGTGTTTCCAGTGACCATTCAACTGAACCTCGGGAGAATCTTAGATTCTGTGCGACCTACCGCGCGCTATGTTTAGCGATTTGAATATGGCCCTTCTCAAGGGTGGGAACCCGGAATTGTCCTCGCTCAACCACGGTCACATCGTGAGCAGACTCGCTGTGAACCGTTTAAGCACGCAAACGACGAGTCCCCCAGACACCCGAGGGCGGATCAGGATGAACAAACCCAGACGAACACTGTCAAAAACGGAGGTCAGGAGATTGTAGGTCTGCGTGTTTGGGCTCTCATCACAGTTTTCCTGTTCGACTGTATTTCCCATTCGCTTGTTAGCATATTTTTGTAGAGACTGCCACATAAATAATACAGAACTCCTGTTGCAATTCACCGAACAAAAACCTTTTGTCTGTCATTAGGGAGCGACCCGTTTTTTTCTATCGGCTTGAACATCTTTTTGCCATTTGCCACAACAAGAATCCTTATGTATCCCGCCACAAAAGGAATTATTGCCTAATCCGCCACACGATCCTCTTGTGAATTGCCACAACATGTATCACTGTGTAAACCGAAACCGTGGGAATCCTTTTGATTC